GTTTTAAAGAAATGTATGAGAAAATTAATTTCAAGTAACCCAAAACTTACAAGAAAAAAAAAAGTGTTTCAATAATTAATTGATCTTTTAATTTTTCTCTTTCTTTGATATTTAACCTTTTATTTATAGACGAGGACTTACCCGTCGCAGCAGCCACGATCTGAATGCGTTTGGAACCCTTCTCTGTCATATCTTCGGGACCACTATGACCGTTGGTGCGTAACGACGTCCTCCGTATGTCCAATTCCACTGATTCTCTGACTGGGGGTGTATCATTCACCGTCGAAGGGGAACTCACTGGTACAGGGCTGTAGGCATAGTCTTTATAAGAGCGCCCCTCTATTTCCTCATTGCCGCGAGTGGGGGTCATTTTCTCGATCTCTCTTTCTCGCTCGGCTTCCTCTGATCGGTCTCCACCTCTCTCTCCCACTCTTTTCTTTTGCTGTTCCTCGCGAAGCGCGATCTCGATCGCGGGTCGATCGCGGTCGTTGCAGCGATATGTCTCGAGACCTAGACCCTGAAACGAGGCGCCTTGATCAAGGTCGCGCGGTCTCGCCGCACACAGAATGGTCTCCATAAGAATTATCTCCATCGAAAAGGACCCTTGTCGAGAAAAGTATCGAGTAGGAGAATGAGATGATAGAGCAGAATTTTCAAAATGTATTTGAGATCTCATCAAAATCCAATTCATATGATTTTGATAAAATGTTTATGGAAGAAGAATGTTTACTTTAAAATAATAGATGAGATAACGTATCTTTTCCGATGTATTCACATATATATTTTGTGATATCTTCTTTTTATCAAGAAAGAGATTCAGCTTTATAATAAATAAAAAAAAATAATAAATTAAATGAAATTAAATTTATAGTTATCTGTACTTTTGTTTTGTAGAAGAAGAAAGAGAATGCGAATTCTTATATTAAATTCTCGTCTATTAAGTCTAATTTGAATGCAGTTTCAGAGAATTTCTATAGAAAAAGTTGCAAATACTATATGATAAATGCGTCCACTTATATCTTTCAATTTGCGTGAGAATCCAAATAAATGAAGATATTTATCTGACAATGAAGAAATAATTTGCTCCTAGATATCATCTTTCATGCTCACAAAATACTTTTAATATCAAATCTCTAGATTCTTTAAAGTATAGATATGAGGATCGCTTCAATAAATTTTATATGAATTTCAACGCGAGCAAATCGTGCTAGTAAAATCTGCCCTTCGTAATATATACTCCAATTCGAAGATGATTCTCCTATTACTGGTGCTTTCCCTATAATATAAGCCGAAGGAAAATCGATAACGCGCTGCATCAAACGCGTTGTAATAATGTTAATGCAAGCGAGTGGTTTAACGCAATTGATTAAATCACGAAACAGAATCAATCAGCGCAATGCCTTGAGTATGGATATTTCGGTCCGTGTTTTTATTTTGCGACATTCTGCTGGACTAATTAATGTACCCGTATTTCGGACGTCAGTCTCATGCTGTGAACACCCTGTGTAATGAGTCGATCGGTATTTGTCGAGAGCGCCGACAAATCTCTTTCTTTTCTTTGCTTTTTTCTCTTGCATGGAGTGCCAACAGAACATCGTATATAATATTTCTTTCCATTGATTAAATTACGCGGAACAAAGTAATTCGAAGAAGTTTTTCTACGGTTAACTCGGCTTGCTTACTTTTGTGTTAACGGAAAAATCAATAAAATCCAGGATGAGATTTACTCCGCATCCTGCCGATAACTACATTACGCACATGCGTGCCGCGTCCCGATTGCGAGTCGACGACGATAGCTTCGCGCGGATACAAATGATCGCGTTGCTTGTAAAAGCGAGAAAATATAGAAATAATATAACGAAAATTCAATTTTATTTCACGATAGAATACGCTCCGTAAATCACGCTTGGCGAAGGAGTGTCCTTTTAGTTTTAAATGCAATTACGTTACGCGCTTATTGGTGTAAAACTTCGAGGAAATGGAAGGACAACAGTTGCATCGCTTCGGTTAAAACTTTGAACGGAGATAAATAATTTATGAAATAAATGATTTACAAAGAACAATCTGATTTATGAAGCTGATTATAATCAAATGAAGATATATAGGTACATTGATCAATATCCTTATAGAAATCTAGTTAATACTAGCAAATTTATCGCTAAAAGATGTTTCGGCGCACAGTCACATTTGAGATTAATTAAATTCATGAACTTAGAATATTATATTATATATTCGAAACTTCCAACTTTGACCGATCCTTAAGATCTCTATTATAATATAAGAGAGTAATTGATTACTTATTTAATGCTAAAAGCACTAGACAACAATTCTTTTAATTATATTTAAAATAAATAATTACTGTCTTTTGACAGTAATTACTTCAATCATCAAATTGGCAATATTAGATTTTTGTATATAAAAATATAATAAATTTCAATGTGTAAAATGTTCATATTGTTTTAATAAAATTAATTTAATTCCTTACAAATTCGATGAACTCAGTGCACTTTAGTGTTGATTACCTCTTTTGCGAACAATCATTAGAATGTCCGCAGACAATTTAATGCGAGTAGAATAAATATTATCACTACAACGAAAAATTCCGTTCTTCACACTTGTTTGATTGTTTTCATTGTGAGAATCGATAATTGTTTTCCCCCGCTACAGTTTTTCACACGCGGCGAAAAACAAGTTACGTATCGATGAGATCAAATTACGATTTATTGTTTATCAAATGATAGTCACAACAGCTTCGCGGGTGATTTGAAACAATGATAGTCGCAATTAATCTAACGGCGACCGGATGAGTATGTATCAAAGGGAAAATTGTACTAACTTTCGATTGGTAGTAGTTAGAAATAAAATAGAACACTATAGCTAAAAGAACGGACTTACCGATATCGCACACGCACTGTCGTTAAAATGATCTTTTCGTTAAATGAGAGCCGTGTTATAAATCTCCGATTATTTTCTTACATAACAACGATAAATTATCGGGAATCCATATCGCTGACGATGAATCATGCTCCTTGTCGATGCCATGTTGATTATTTGATATCTTTGTCACCTTACCGGTAGTCCTTGATAACGACAAACAAGCTAAATCATAGTGGCCTCATAATTATACGTAAATTAGTCATAAAATATATATATATATATATAT